AGTTTCCTCAATATATTCAAGAGCCTGTTATTTATTTTGGTCAACGCGAACCACCCCCCACAAAAGTCTCTAACTTGCAAGAACTATGAAATTAGGTGTGATTCAGGAGGAGTGGAAAATTAAAGGAGAAGGAATGATCATCAGAAGAAAGCAAACCAGTATAGATTACCAAGCGAAGGCCCCCGGTGTTAGATAACCAAGTGCAACATAATCTTGGCTGAGCAAAACAAATGAGTGTAAACTGAACCCAAACAGAAATACAGTAGATGTTGTTTGTAAACACTGACAAAAGCATCCAAAAGTAACAAAAGCACACAAGCTGGCTTTTCTCTTAGCCTTCTGCAGGCGGGTAGAAAGACAATTTACAACCCCAATGCTCGGGTGACAGCCGACAGCCTGAAAATTAACCCAAGTCACAATAAAAGCTAAACAGCATACTTCAGCATTAAAAGAACACTGCCTCCAAATGTGATTTCCTTCTCTCTTGGCCCTTGAAACTCTCAATTAAACATGCTATATAAAAAGTAATCCAGAAATGATCACGACTTCCAGGCTGGCGTCCAGGCAAGGCTGCCCACCACTTCAAGCATTGACTCAATCAAAAAATTTATTGGAAGCCTATTAGGTGCAAGACACGGTGCTAGGTGTTGGGATTCACTCGTGAAGAACGTAATACTTTATCCTTTCGGGATGCTATTGGGGAAGGCAGATGATAAACAAGCACAAAAGAATCCAAACAACGGCAGGTGTGGTGAACAATGGTGGGAACAAAGTGTGGCCATCTCGGCAAGCAGGTGATCTCCATGCCCAAATGCCAAGGATGAGAAGGAGGAAGGTTTTTGCAGAGCCGGGGCAAAAGCATTCTAGGTAGAGGGAAGAACGAATTCCAAGACCTCCCAGGCAGGGCAAGAAAAGAAAGGAGACCAAGGTCAGCAGAAGGCAGGGAGGGAGGCCAGAGGGGCTGGGAGGATGGGGCACAGGACAACCCCTTGTCAGCTGGCAGGGATTTAAGGCAAAGAGTGGTGTGACCTGATTGAAAAGTAGTGTGACAGATCACTTGGGCTCCTGTGTGGAGAGTGGATCAGAGACACCCCAGAGTGGATGCTGGGGGTGCCTATTAGGAAGTTAGTCCAGGATGGAGGCAAATGGCCAGGAGTAGGGTAGGAGCTGTGATTCTAGGGAGAGGTGAATGCACCCCCAGATAATATTCCAGGAGCAGAACCCCGGGGACCCACTGACAGCCTCTATATCGGGGGTGAGAAAGAGAAGACTCAAGGATGACTCTTACAAGTGGGTGGATGGTGGGGTCAAGAACTGGGGATGGAGGAGACAGAGGGAAGGAGAGGTTTGGGGAGCTCTGTGCATGAACAAGAGCAGGAAGCCTTGGGAAAGTGCTGTGTTAAAAATACAGTGGCCTGGACTGCACTTCCCTGGTGGTCCAGTGGTTAAGACTCTGAGCTCCCAATGCAAGGGGCCTGGGTTCAACCCCTAGTCAGGAAACTAGGTCCCTGATCTAGTGCCGCAACTAAAAATCCTACATGCTGCAGCGAAGATGAAGGATCACAAGAGCTGTAACTAAGACCCAGCACAACCAAATAAATAAAATAAACATTAAAAAAAAGAAAGAAATATAAATAATGGGAGTTGCCAGCATATAGATAGTACTTAAAGCCATGGAGGGATGGGATAACATTACTAAGGAAGAGAGTGTTGACAGCAAAAAGGAACCAGGACCAGTCCCTAAGTAACCCCATCACTCTGAGGTCAGACAGAGGAGCAACCAGCAGGCAGACTGAAGAGGAAGAGAAGAGGAAACCCAGGAGTGTGTGGAGACGAGGGGGAGGGAGTGGCCACAGGGGAGCAGCGCTGCTGAGGAAGGGAGGAAGACGTGGACAGAGGCCTGACAACATGCAGGTCATCAGTGACCCGGCAGTGCTGGGGACGAGGTGGGGACAGAAGCCAGACTGCAGGCTATAAAGGGCTGACAAATGACAGGCAGAGGAGATGAATGGAGATGGTGGTTTCGGGCTTCTCTTTTGAGATGTTCTTGGGTAAAGGGGAGCAAAGAAGTGGAACAGAAGAAGGACAGGGATGTATCAGGTTGGCCAAGAATTTCGTTCAGGTTTTTCCATGAGATGGTATAGAAAAACCCAAATGAACTTTCTGGCCAACCCAATAAAATGAGAGACGCTAAAGCTGTGCTGTCTAACATGGCAGCTCCACTAGCCACTGGTGGCTATTCAAACTTAAAAAAATTAGGTCTCAGTCACCCTAGCCACATTTCAAGTGCCCCACAGGAACAGGTAGCTTGTGGCTACCTTACTGGACCACGCAGATAAGAATGTTTCCATCAGTGTGGGAAGTTCCACGGGACAGCACTGAACCAAACCATGTTTGTACACTGATGGGAAAGACCCTAGAGACAGACGGAGGGGAGAAAACAAGAAATGTTCCTTGACAAGGTGAAAGGGGATGTGATGGCTGGTCCTCCAGGAGGGGAGAGCCTCTGGCAGGACAACAGGTAGGAAGGAAAACATGGGGGTGGCCACACACAGGACTGTAGGCATGGGGGTGGTGGTGGGGCACTTCCTTGGACTGTGGCTGTCTTTTGCCAATGAAAAGGGAGGCAAGATGTGTGTGGGGGGAGAAGAGGGAGACCTGAGGAAAGAGGAAAGTAGGAAACAATTTCCTTGGGGAGAGAAAACACAACTTTACTGGAGAAACCAGACATACAACGCACAACACTTCTCAGAAGAGAAGCGGGAAACAGCAGTGAACTTCTGAATGAGGAAAAGCATCTTAAGTGGGGGAGAGAGAAACTCAGGCTTAATTTTTTTTTTTGCCTTTTAAATTTTGGTCATGTCTACACAGTAGCGCTGTGACAAAGCTGTAGGATCACAGCAAGCTCTTCTACTGGCTGCCCTTTCTTAGTTCATCTCCCTCCATCCTACTCAACTCTCGGAAAGGATGACATTGGTTCTATTTTCGGTGAAAATGGCTCCCTCCTCTGTGTGAACAGCTTACCCAGCCCTTAGCTCCATCTCAATTTACAGCCATGGTTTGTATGTTCACATAAATTATAGAAGAGGTGGATATATTAAAAATGGCAGAAGTAGGTAGGAGTTACCAACCACCCCTTACCTACGAGAAGTGAGTAACAGACATTTATCAGATGATGTTAAAATTACATGAAAGACATATTCAGTGTTTAAACAAAATCCCCAAGCTACTCCTCCCTGCTTCTCTACAAACAATAATTATTTTCTGACATTTTCTTTAAGCTTTTATTAGTAAACATTTTCATTTCCACAGAATCATTTGATCTCAACCACGGAGCTTCAATATTTGTTTTTGATCCTGCCAATGTGTTGGGTTGGTTTTGTGTTGGCTGGGAGTGAGGGGAGGGGGGCGGTGTACAGAAAGAGTTAAAATTACCAGGTTCCTTTTATCTTCCATCTTGAGACCTACATTTGCCAACTACTTCTTTCTATACATTTTTTTAAAAAGTATGAAATCTGAGAACCTCAAAGGTTCCCACTGCACAACGAGCAGCCGTTTCATAGCCAACCAAGAGGTCACTGGAAATGTTACAGGAAAACAGCTTCCTGGCCAGGGTGCCTCTGGTAGAAACCACTCACAGCTTTGTCTGTGTGAAATCTGGATCAGCACCAGTGTCTTCAGCAAATCTCCAGGCTCCTCTCTGTCCCCCCTGACCTGCTCACGTCGGTCTGGAGTTCTCACACTTCCCTTCTCAAAATTCATTTCAGCCTCCCTCTGGTTTCTCCAAACACTTCACAGACCCCAGAGATAAAAATTCACTGGGTAAAATGACTCCACAAACTGGTAAGGACTAAGGCACAACAAAGCCACCATGGGAGCCCTGTCAGACCACCAGGAGGACCCTTCCCCATTCCACTGCTCACCAATCCTGCCCAGAAAAGCAAGCGCTCTAGACCTATACCACCCGGCAGAAGTCTTTGGGTCTTGAGGAATGTGTGAAGGGCGCTCAGCTCAGCAGCAGGGGACACAGAGATTCAGGAACTCCCCTCCAGGTACCCACCACCAACCCACCCCACGGCCGCTGTCAGGGTGCGCTGGTGGCTCTGCCCCTGCGCTCAGGGGTCATTCTACAAACACTCATCAGCTGCCTGCTCAACCTGGGAGAAGTCACCCAACCACTTCAGGCCTCTGCTACCTTATCTGTAAAATGGGAATAATAACCACTCCCAGAACCTGCACAGCACATCATCAATATGTGCTCACATCCGGTGAGCAGATGCACGGAGTTAATTGTGTTATTAGCGGCTCCCTGACTCACAGCGCCTACTGCTCAGAGAGACGCCAAGGAGAAATCAATCCTGCTTTTTAAATTACTTTATATACTCGGATGCATTAGTCACTTCGACAGAGTGCTTCAACTTCTCTCCTGAGCATCCACTCAGTTGTTTCAAAGACTGAAGCCTTACCTACACATCCTCAGTCATCTCAAAGCATAAAGTCCACTATTCCTATGAGGGGGTTACTATTATCTGGTGAGTTCCCTTTCCAGGAAAACTTCGATTTCCATTTTGTATGTAATAAATCCAACCGTGGAGACAGACAAACTGCTTCTTAGACTCCCAAACACAGGCCCTAGAGTTGATCGCGCCTGGAGCAAAGGGACCGCGGCAGAATGGCGAAGCAGGGAGGCCGGCCAGTGTGATTGTCCCCGCCCGGTGCCCCCGCGCCCGGGCTGCCTTAGAGGGCGAAGGCCACGCGCGCTGCGCTGAAAGTCCTCGCCCAGGCCGGGGTGCCCCTGCCCGGTGTCCGCGCTCCGGGGCGGAGAGCGCGGGGTCGGGCGGCCCCAGGCTCTCCGGAGCCGGTTGCGCGCTGGCTCAGGCTCCCGGCGCTGGGCGCAGAGGCCGGTTCGCTCAGGGGGGCTTCGAGCCTAGGGACGCTAGCCGGGGCACCGCAGCTCTTCGGGGTGCCGCGCGGGGCGCGCGCGGCGCGGGCTCACTCACCCCATCTCCGGCGCTGCTCCGGCGGCCGCTCCGACGGGGCCTCTCGCGTTCGCTCTCCGCCGGCTCTGCAGCCGCTCCCCGCGCGGCACATGCGGCGGCCCCTGCGCGCCCGGCTCAGCCCCGGCGCCGCTCCATTCCGCGGGGCTGCGCGGCTGCCACTACCGCCGCCGCCGCCAACAGGCGCGGGCGGGCGGGAGGGCGGGGGCTGGGCCGCCGGGGGCTGGGCGGTCGCGCTCGGGCGGCGCCCGCCCCGCCCCGCCCCACTCCCCCCGCCCGGCTCCTTACGTAACCTTGTGGCCCCCGGGACTCGGCGCCCGGCCAAGGGGTGGGGGGCGCGGCGGGGTGTGCGGCGTCCCCAGGCGCCGCCCTGCGGTCGCCACCCGCCTCCCCCTCGCCTTTCCCTTGGAGACCCGGCACTGGCACTCCCCCGCCCCGTGCCCACCGCGGGGCTTGGCGCAGTGCCAGAGCAAGCATTCAGCCTGTGGGACTGAGGGGACTTGGGCGACCCTTCGTTTGCAGTTGCAGGAACGAGGCCCCAGAAAAGGAAGTGACTTGCCCAAGGACATATGTTCAGGTTTGAGCCCAAAGTCTTCAGACTCTGCGATGGGCACGGCTGTGTGCCGCCCTGAAGCCCCCTTTCATCTTGCAAGTCCACTCCAGGGTGTTGGCTCAGGGTACCCTCACCATGAAATTCCGGATCCTACACCCGCCGCAGGTGTTCTATGGGCAAAGATGGGTGGGGTCTCCCGACTAGAGCATAATCGCTTTTCAGGAGGCTGAATCAACTTGGCTTAGAGCAAAGGAAATTGGGATGGTAAGGGTGGAGCTTCAAGAAGAGCGATCGCTGAGTCCTCTTTCTACGCGTCAGGGCCCGATCCCCTACTAAAGGCCGGCAGGGGACCAAACTAATCTTCATCTCCACTCTGGGCCCTTCAGGGACCAAACTAATCGTCATCTCCACTCTGGGCCCTTCACAGGATCATTTTCTCCTGAGAACATGCTGCCCACCTGAGCCTGGACAGTATTTCTTTACTCAGGACAGTAAACAAAAGTCTAGGGACAAGCATATGAAGCAGGGCCACCACCCCAAGCCTACCCGCAAGTTTCCTGGGACCACAACTTTACCTGGGAACCCTCAAGGTCTCCTCCTGGGGCTAGTGACCCGCTATGAGTAATTGTCTCAATTACAGACCTGATCCTATCTCCTTCCCACCATCCTTAGGATGAACACAAGATATTGAACGTGCTCACAAGGGCTGGCCTCATGGTGCCTCCATCTCCCTCTCCAGACTCTCCTTGCATTCTCTCTCCTTGCTTCCTGTGCAGCAGCCAACTGGCCATCCTCCCTTCAGCACCTGCTGTTCTCAGTCTGGGGAGATACTTTCCTCTCTTGTCTCTGACACCCCAACCCCTTTGCCTCGTCAATCCCTACTCATTTTCAGATCTCAGTTAAACTGTCCCTTCCTTGTGGAATCTTTATTTGACGCCCCAGACAACACTGTGAATCCCTGTACTTTTTCTTCATTGCACTCACTGTACATAATGTCTGTGAAATTAATAATTTAACCATCTCTCAGGCATATCTGCACACTCTATGAAGCTGTTATAAATTTTGCTCATCACTGCATCTCCAGTGCCTAGAACAGTGCCTGAAAGTCCTCTGTCAAACATTTGTTGAATGAATGAATGAGCGAATAGGCTAGGCCACAGATAAACAGAATTGGCCAGAGTCTGTAAGCACAAGTAACTCTGTTCCCAGGTGGCGCTAGTAGAAAAGAACCCGCTACCAATGCAGGAGACATGAGACCGAGGTTCGATCCCTGGGTCATGATCCCTGGAGGCAGGCATGGCAACCCACACCAGTATTCTTGCTTGGAGAATCCTATGGACAGAGGAGCCTGGTGGGCTACAGTCCATAGTGTCACAAAGAGTCAGACACAACTGAAGCAACTTAGCACACAACACACAAATCCAGGACTGGATAAGCATTTGATCCTGGAGGAAACTCATCACCAGCTGAATTCCAAAGGCCAGGTGAAGCTGGTTGGGGTGGGGGTGGGGGGTGGAGGTTCCCAGCAGTATCAAAAGGAGTCAGGAACGAGGACTAGAAGAACCCGGCTCAGCTGGAGTAGGAGGATTGGAGAATAGACTCACGGTGCACTTGGAGCAAGCAGTGTGCCTGAGAGGGAGTTTCCTTTGGCTCCACTGGTGGAAAGGGCAACACCCAAGTTACCTTGGGAAGAGGTACTGAAGCCACACAGGTGGGGCTGCTGAATCACCCGGGCTGCTTCACACAGTCAGCAAAAAGCAGGGCGGTGCGGGAGGTATAAGCCTGGTAAGGTTAAATACGCTGGGATTAAAGTGACCAAAGCTTCCCTACAGGAAAGGGTGGATCAGACAAGAGTGGGAAACAGATGTCCCTCCTTCCCCCCAGTTTCAGGCTGCTGTCCCTGGGGGTAGGGGGTAACCGCTACTCCTCTCCTTCACCCCCAACTCCAGGCCCAGGTTGGGTGCTGCCTCTCAGGATCTTTCCCAGATGCCCAGAGCCTTGTCTAAGCTTCCAGTTCTTGCCAGCAGTACTTCATCATCTTGGAGTTTTCCCTAGAAAGAGGCCACTTAATTTCCCTATTAGTGCCTCCTCCCTCCATTGAAGCCAACACAGTAACCCTTTTTCTGTGAAATATCGCCCATCAACATGGTCTTCGTGGCCCCAATTGCCAAGGGAAATGATGGGTGAAGTCCTTCCTGTTCAAGAGTCTCACAGTTGAGGCTTGCCTGGCGGTCCAGTGACTAAGACTCTGAGTTCCCTATGCATGGGGCCCAGGTTCCATCCCTGATCAGGGAATTAGATCCCATATGCCTCAAGAATTCACAACAAAGACCTGGTGCAGCCAAATAAATAAATGAATATAAAAAAAAAAAGTCCCATAGTCAAAGGGAGAGACTCCATGCTGACTGGATGTTGAGGTGAGGCCAAGGAGAGTCTTTTTAGGCAAAAAGACTTCAGGATCCTTTTAGGTTGACCAAGAGAAGTCAGTGACGTGGGACAAGACTGAAGATGTGAAAAGGAAGGGGTAATCCTGGGGAAAGCAGGAGAGGATGGGGTCCAGGCCAGGCAGAGGCGCTGGCCTTGGAGCGGGGTGGAGGGTCTAGAGGGGAAGGTGAGAGAGGTAGAGGGAACCCTTGTCTGGTGGGCTCCTTTTTCTTTTTTTAGATTTTGTTTTTAAAAATGTGGACCATTTTTAAAGTCTTTATTGAATTTGTTACAATATTGCTTCTGTTTTATGTTTTGTTTCTTTGGCCAGGAGGCACCTGGGATCTTAGCTCCCCCAACAAGGACCAAACCTGCACACCCCTCACTGAAGGGTGAAGTCTGAATCACTGTCCTTCCCTTGGGCTCTTTTTCCTAAGGAAAGAAAGGACACTTACCGAATGTGCACAAGAGAGAGGAGATGGGGCAGAAGCCAAACTTGAAAGCATTGGGAAACTAAAAACCAGTGTTTGAACAGACCCAGAGTTGGAAATGAGCAGGGCAGAGATGTCCCAGAAGTCTGGGAGGCCATGTCTTGACCAGCACAACCTCAGGGACCTGGAATTCCTGCCGTTCTCTGCAGGCAGCAGAGGCTCCGGAACCTGATAGGTGGCACGGGAAGGACACCCTGGGCTCCAACAGGGGCAAGCTGGATAACTGTGGATGGCTCACCAGAGAGCTACATGAACCTGCGAAATTAAGGAAAACATCAGCTCCACGTGTGCCCGTCCTCTGTACTGCAAATGAATTCTCCCAGGCATCCTGGGCAGAAGAGCGCTGTGCACCCCCTGTGCCTAAGAGGTTTGTGGCCCACACCACTGGCTTCTTGTCTCCCAAAAGCTAGCTTCTGGAGAAATGGCTGATAGTAGTCTAAGGCAGGAAAAATGCAAACCAGCACAGAGTATCTTGTAATACTAAAGTAAGGAGATACTAAAAAACAACAACAACAACAACACAAGGGCTGGGCGTCTGCTGAAGGGATACAGGAGCTAACTGAAAGAGCTTCCAATGGCCAAAGCTGGAACAATTTGGGCAATATGATAAATAACCACTGTATAGGATTATAACACAAAATATAACAAATACACACAAATCCATACTGATGTAAATTATTACATAAGTGGGAAGAAACAAACCTTCTCTACAGAAGAATCTCAAACAACATGTGCAGGTGCTCTCCCCTCCTCCACCTCCTGGACAGTAAGCTGGTCTTAGCATCTTAGTGCTTTGTTTCTAAAGAAGAGAGAATGGGAAGGGAAAAACAGGAACTTTACAGTGGAGAAACTGGATAGACACTACCTTGGCCAAGTGATCCAGGTTACCATCACCAGTTGTAAGCCATGTTGGAATCACACACCCTCTGATGCGATGGAAGAGAAGTAGACGTCACCTGTACATTATTTTTCCCTAAGCCCATAACCTAGTCGTGAAAGGGGCACTTCCTGGTGGCTCAGTGGGAAAGAATCCACCTGCCAAGGCAAGAGATTCGGGTTCAATCACTGGGTCAGGAAGATCCCCTGGAGAAGGGAATGGCAACCCACTCCAGTATTTCTGTCTGGGAAATCCCATGGACGGAGGAGCCTGGCAGGCTGCAGGGGTCTCGAAAGAATAGGACACGACTTAGCAACTGAACAACACAATCATGATAAACACACCAGACAAACCCACACTGAGGGACATTCTACAAAATTCCTGATCAGTACTCTGCCGAACTGTCAAGGTTATGATAAGCAAGAAAAGACTGAGAAACTGTCACAGACCAGAGGAAACTAAGGTGATATGAGTTGTTATTTGGCTGCTGAGTGTTACTCACTCAGTTGTGTCCGACTCTGCAACCCCATGGGGGTCACAGCCCGCCAGGCTCCTCTGTCCATGGGATTTCCCAGGCAGGAATACTGGAGTGGATTGCCAGTCCCTTCTCCAGGGGATCTTCCAGTCTTCCTGACCCAGGGATCGAACCTGGGTCTCCTGCATTGTGGGCAGATTCTTTACTGTTTTGGCTACCAGGTAAGCCCCAAGGTGATGACACAAAGATTTACTAAATACTGTATTTAGATCCTGTAAGATAAAGAAGAAAAAATTTTGAAATCCAAATAAAAGCTGGAATTTAGTTAATAGTAATGTGCCAGTGTTGGTTTCTTCCTTATGCCACACATTCCATGGTAATGTAAGATGTTAACAATAGGGACGGACGTCCCTGGTGGTTCAGTGGTTAAGACTTCACCCTTCCAATGCAGGGGGTGTGGATTTGATCTCTGGTTGGGAAACTAAGATCCCACATGCTGTGCAGTGCAGCCAAAATTTTAAAAAAAAATTTTTTTCAATGGGGGAAAACTGGGTGGGGATAGATAGGAACTCCTGTACTGTCTTTGCAACCTTTCTGCAAATCTAAAATTGGTCCCAAATAAAAGAAAGTAGCCTTGGGAGTTTCCTGTATACTAGA